TAATTCTTTCCAGAATCAATTATTACTATGATTTTTCCCAAATAGTAATTTTCCATCATTCCTTCTACATTTCGTGGTTGGCACTCTTAAGGGAGAGTTTTTACTTCTCTCTCAACCCCATTTATATATTCATTTATTTTAGTGAGGATTCATGGATTCTTAGTGAGTTATAAATAATTGGCATCATTTATTTTAATGCTAATGTTTTCCCTGAATTGGCCTATCGGACCTTTTTCATGCTGGTTCCTGTGTCCATGTACATGTTCCTGTTATTCTTTGATCAGTCTTCAATTGTTGACACAGTAAGCCTCGTTCAGCCTTGGGCTTAGGGCTTAGAATCAACCATTTCTTCAGAGGTCTTACTCCTTTTAGTGGAGGACGGAATTTAAAAACCAAGGTTTGTAAACTAGATGTACTCTTTGTTTTACTCATACACACACCTCCCTATATTACTTTCTGTACCGTTTTGCTCTATGTTGAAATGTATGAGTTCACACTGATAACTTCCAATTCCAGTGACATACAAGGTTCATAATGTCTTTTCATGTTTCATAGTTGTAATCCCTTCCATGAAAAACTAGCTTCTAATATGCATATGCATATTGCAGATACTTAGATTCTCAGTCCTAGAATATATAGATACAGTTTCAGGACTGCTCATTTATACCACTACAAGGAACAAACCTGTCAACCAGCATTCAATATTTGTTTATACTTTTTTTGTTTTGTTTTGTTTTTTGGTTGAAGTCGGGTCCTTGCTCTTGCAAGGTAGGGACCAGAACCACTGAGCTAAATCCCCGGCCCTATACTTTTTTCTTTTTGGCTTGAGATTTTGAGAATTTGTCACTGGATAGTGTGGGTACTTGCTTTTGTGATAATGGAAATTAAAAGTAAAGCATCAATTTTCAGGAAAAAGTCTTTAATTGAAGATACAAAATGGTAATGGACTTTAGCTTGAGTAGCTGACTAATATCAGGCTGGCCCTTTTCAAAAGAAAGTAAAAAATAGTAGGAAAGGACTCCAGCTTGAAGAGCTGGAGGAAACACAGTCTGATGGAGAGAACACACTCTAATGAGGGACTCAAACTGACCTGTTTGAATGGAGACCAGGTTTATAGGTACTGTAGTAGGTCAAGTTTTGGTCAGTCATTACATCAGTCCTGGTCTGTAGATCCAGATGAATCCTGGCTTGAAGAGTGATTCCATTCTCATGAAATGGTTGTCTTTGTGGTGGCTTATTTCATCTTATGTGAGGCTCTGCTTTTCCTAGGTCCAGGTGACTATCAGTGTAGGACAATGGCTGGAGACTTAGATGTTGCTCCAGAGGGGATGGGTCTGGAACTGGACATTGTAAAGTCTGGTAATCAGATGTCTCTCTGAATCCTGAACACTACTTTAGTTACTCTTAGCTCGGTGTCCTCTATCTTGAAGGGGGATGAGATAGGTAGATAATTTTAGGGCTAACAAACTTTATTCTGTTGACTTTTTAAAAATGAATAATGTGGCAGTATCCACAGTTTTAAGGTAATAAAGGTTATATGAAATGAATGCTAACTTTTGTTGTACTCTCTATTTTTACCTAAGAGGTAGGTCTTTTTTTTGTAGCCATCTAACACTTCATTGTGTTCACGAAAGGATGCTCTATACACTTTATGATGTATAAGCACTTATGGTTTACTAGTCCTACTAGTCTACTGCAGTGAAATAGCCCTTGTGCATATGTATTTTTGTATTAGTGGAGATATGACTTCAGGTTAAATTCTTAGAAGTGAGATTGTTGATCAAAAGGAAATGCATGTGTAGCTTTGTTATATGTTGCCTAATTTCTTTCATTAGGCTTATATTAAGGTAGTTTCCACCTGCAGCTTAAAAGTATGCCTGTTTTTTCATATCCTTCCCAGAAGAGTATGTTGTCATACTTCTGCTTTTGCCAACCTGAGGTGATAGGTAGTATCTTGGTACCTGGATTTTCATGGTTTTTTTAATTTATGATTTTTTTTTTTTTTTGCCATGAAAAGGATTTAAAAAACATTTTTGATTTTTTAAAAATGATTTTAATTTTTATGTATTCAAATTGATCAGTTCTTTATGATTTGGGATTTTGATTCATAGTTTAAAAGCCTTAGACTTTATTTTTGATGTGTGAAATAGACCTCAAGTACATTTTTCATTTGTGAATATACAATTAGCCTAGTACCATTTACTGGAAAACTAATGTTTTCTGTACTGCTTCTTTAGCTATAAACCGAATATCTTTATACGGACCACCCTCTGTTGGGATCTGAACCCAGGGCCTATTCACTGAGGTATATCCCTAGCTCTTTTTTTCTCCCCCCCACCCCAGTTTTTTGAGACAGGGTCTCACTATGTGTTGAGACTGACCTAGAACTCACTATGTAGCCCAGACTGGTCTCAAACTCACAGAGATCCTCCTGCCTCAGCCTCCCAAGTGCTGGGATTACAGTCATGTGCGCCCATGCCTGGCTCTAGCTCACTTTCATTTATATTTTGAGATAAAGTTTTACAAAGTCATTAAATTGCCCAGGTTGAGTTTGACCTTAATCATGTGCCACCATGCCTGGCTCTAGCTCACTTTCATTTATATTTTGAGATAAAGTTTTACAAAGTCATTAAATTGCCCAGGTTGAGTTTGACCTTATGATCTTCCTGTTTTCAGCTTCCCAGATTGCTGGGATTATAGGTGTGCACCACTGCTCTTGGCTCTTTTGAAAAAGTCCAATCCAGTACCTCATAAATATAAGGCAAGAGCCCTACCCTGGAGCTGTACCTCTGTCCATGGATTATTACTCAGTTTTACTCATTTATTCTTGTGCTGGTACTGTGTGATCTGAATTATTACTGCTGAGTTTGTGACTTAATGCCCAGATAGATGTTTACTTTTGCCATCACATAAAGGCAAAGTATAACCAGAGAAATGTGATCTTTAAGCCATTTTTAAATCTATATAGTGTGGTTATCAGATTTTTTTGAAAGAAAAGACTATTTCACTTATGATAGAAGGAAAAAGATAAACCCAGCCTTTATTAACATAAAAGATACTTGAAAGTAGAAAAGTACATTGAGTTTATATACTGCTGAGTTTGTATTTTGACAACAAAAGGGACTTTTTTTATTTAAATTTTGCTTTTCGTCATAGTTATAGCCAGTTTTTATTAGGAGAAATAACTCTTAAAGAATATAAACAGAGTTGGGTGTGGTGGTACATGCCTGTAATTCCAGCACTCAGGAGGCTGAGGTAAAAGGATCACCATGAGTTTGAAGCCAGTTTGTGCTACATAGTGAATTTAGGGTTAGCCCAGACTACACAGTGAGACCCTGTTTCAAAGAAATTTAACCAGTAGCTGAGATGTAGCTCAGTGGTGCTGCTGCCTGCCTTGCAAGCTCAAGGTCCTGAGTTAGATCCTCGGTACCAAAAAGCTCCCCAAAAACAAAAATCAAAACTGTTGTTAAAACAAACAAACAAAAGAATATATATACAGTCTTGCATTATTAATGTAGTGTCTCTCTTCCTCTTTATTGTAGATATTCTACATTATCTATGATGTGACAACCCTAAAGTACAATACTAGACTTTAGTCTGTTTACTTATTTGAAAATATTGACCCCTATTTTACCTTGTTTTAATTTTTTATGATTCTGGATGTCCAACCCAGTGCCTTGAGCATGCTAAACAAACACTGTACCACTGAGCTTCACCCTTAGCCTCTCTACCTCTTTTAAAATATTTTAACTTACCAAATAGTGACATATTATGACTCATTTAAATGATGTGTTCTCATCATATGGAATTATTGATATTTAGAATTGGAAGAAATTTTAGAAGTCAGTTACATATGAACCATTGTAATTCTTAAAAGTGAATTCATCACAATTATCTGAAAAGTCCCTAATATGACTCCCTACAGAAGACAGCATAAATCAAGAGACTAACTTGTGCCTTCACCTTAAAGAGATAAAACTTTTTAGTTCCCTTATTAGAAGGTAATAGTTTTCCTTTTTTCCATGGCTCGTTAACTCCTCTATGTTCTTTTTTATTTCTAGAAGTTAAAAATAAGTTCTTTACTCTTTTTCTTTAATAATTTTAAAGCCATAGTATCTCTTTGCTAAAAATTCATCAGATTTTTAATTATCTTTATAAAATGTAAATAATATTACAGATGGTTTCTCTAAAGTGGTGTGGTCATTTAGACAGAGTTCTCTAGGGTTTTTTTGTTGTTGTTGTTACTAATTATTACCCAGGCCTTAAAAAAAATACCTTCCTTACCATTGTGATAATTTAAACTATATACTACTAGAGAAGTAGATAAGCCAAGAAAGGTACATTTCAGAAAAATTTCATAATTGTCCCCTAGTTTTGGTTACATTTGCAGTTCAGTTGCAACCAGAATTGTGGAACGAATTCTGTGACCAGAATTTTGGAAAGAATTAACTTTGTGGTTCGGTGGCCTGCCTTGCAAGCGCAAGGACCCGAGTTCAATCCCCGGTGCCAAAAAAAAGAGAATTAACTTCGTGAACTGAGCCACCACTGTATTGGTTCCTCATTTAGTCACTTTAGAACAGTAGGTATCACATGACTCTCAATGATACTTCTCTCTAGATATTGGAAAGTAGCCTTTCTCCGGCAGTGTAGAAGTATCCTGAGATAGCCCATGTGGTTTCACTGAGATGCCCCCTGTCATGAGTCACATCCAAGATGAAAGAGTAATAAGGATGGTGCTTTCACTTATCTGCATCTGTCACAAGTAGGCACACAACAGGGATCCATAAAATCTTTTAATTATGTGTATAATTTTAATATCTTAAAAAGAAGCCTGTGATTATTTATAGACATTCTGTTTCTGTAGTGCAGCATAGTGTACTTCCTACCAAATGTCAGAAAGTCTTTGTACAGCTCTTAAACTAAAAGTCAGGAGCTTTGTTTAGTTTTGAAATATTTAATTTTGCTTTAGTCATTATTTAAAATTTTTATGTTACTTCTAGACCAAGAGCAGTGATGATCTTTTAGCTGGAATGGCTGGAGGGGTAGCAGTGACTAATGGTGTTAAAGGAAAAAAAAGTACCTGCCCATCTGCAGCATCCTCAGCATCTGCCCCTGCCATGACCACTGTGGAGAACAAACCCAAGATCAACACAGGTATGGGTGTCATTCAGTCTGGGATGTCAGTTGCCTTTTGTTTAGATAGATACAGTGCATTAGTGTTTGGAGTATTCCATCTGAATGTAATTTTTTTTTTTTTAGGAAAAAAGATAAATTCAAGCATATGATAAAGTAGACATGTTTTCATCACTTATCAACTCCCAACTCCAGCATGTAGTGCTGGAGATTGAACCCAGGCCCTTGTACACACTAGGCAAGTGTGTTATTCCACTGCGCTACCTTTCAAAGCCCCTTATTATTATTATTATTATTATTATTATTATTACTAGGTACTGGGGATCGAACTTGGGTCCTTGCATTTGCAAGGCAGGCGCCAAAACCAATGAGCTAAATCCCCGGCCCTCCCCTTATTATTTTGAAGCCAATTCAAGACATCATATAATTTCATCCATAAGTATTTCATTATCTTTAAAAAACCTAGTCATGATACTGTTACCTTAAAATAATTATTATTCTTTAAATTATAGATTATTCAGTAAGTACTTAAATTTTCACCTGTTTTGGATATTTTTTAAAAATGATTTTTGTTTGAATCAGAATTCACATAAAGTTTATATGTAATAACTGGCTGGTGTGTATCTCAAGTCTTCTTTTTTTAAATCTATACATTTGTCCCCTTTTCTTCTTGGTATTTAATTTTTGGAGAAACTAGCCTTTGACGTGCAGTGTTTCTCATTATCTGTCTTCTGATCACAACATCCCCATGATATCTTTGTCTGTCTAATCCTTGTCCTCTCTTTTTGCCATAAGTGGCCCTGGGCCTTGAGCCCTGATGGGACAGATTCCTCTTCCCTCTCCTCCCTCCCTTCCCCTCCCTTCCCCTCCCTCCCTTTTAATTTTTGGAGAAACTAGCCTTTGACGTGCAGTGTTTCTCATTATCTGTCTTCTGATCACAACATCCCCATGATATCTTTGTCTGTCTAATCCTTGTCCTCTCTTTTTGCCATAAGTGGCCCTGGGCCTTGAGCCCTGATGGGACAGATTCCTCTTCCCTCTCCTCCCTCCCTTCCCCTCCCTTCCCCTCCCTCCCTCTCCCCAATTTCTAGTTGTCTCTCTTTATGTGATGTTTGCCTTTGATGATCAGTGTTAGATTCATTCATTTTAATCCTTCCATCTTGTGCTGATTCATTAGTAGCTGTTTACTCTTTAGACTTAATAAAGTGGATAAATCGACTCACCATGCAGGCTGAGGAGGAATACCATCACATTTTACTTGTTAACACTTAAAAAAAAACTTAAAAAGAAAAAATTTTACCAACTTTTAGTAAATCATATAATCGTGTAATTATAGTAAAGCTCATAAAAGCAGAAATTATAGTAGATCCTCTTCTGTCATCATAATTTAGGACTTCAGCTTCTCTCAATTTTCCCAACTGCTTTTATCTACTGTCCCATTGCCTGCTTTAACCTTCTGTAAAATCTTCCTTCCATCCCAGATCATACCTTACTTTTAATTTTAATAGTGGTATGGTATGATTAACAAGAAGTGATATTTCAGTCCCTTTCGAGAGGCATTATTGTTGTTGTTGTTATTTCTACAATATCTGGGTTAAACCCAGGACCTTTGTACTGAGCTACATCCTGGCCCTTTTATTTATTTATTTTTTGAGACAGAGTCTTCCTAAGTTGACCACGCTGGGCTTGAATTTGAGGTCCTCATGCCTCAGCCTCCTAGAGTGCTGGGATTACAGGATTGTGCTACTGTGCCTGGCTGGCATTATTTCATTTTATCTGCATCTTTATTTTATGAAGTAAAAAGCGTTATTGTTCTGATCTCAGAAAGGAGAAAGCTACACTTAAGCTAAACTTAAGTCTCTTGCCGAAAGCCATGCATTCAATTACTCAGTAAATACTTATTGGGGACCAATTTTGTATCAGTCTTTGAGTTCAAACCTAGTAGTGCAGCAAGTATTGAACCTTTTTTTTTTTTGAACCATTGTTTTTTCATCTCTTGAACCTAGGGTCATTGTCACCTTTAATGCTGTAGCCCAGTGATGGCAAACCGTTTAGAGATGAGTGCCCAGATTGCAACCTAAAACCCACTTATTTATTGAAAAGTTCCAACACTGCAATTAAACCTGAATACTGAGATTTGTAGTTTAGAGAAAACAACTCATACATTTACATCTTTTGTCTTAAAAGAAAAACAAATAACATGCGTGTCATAGGTTTACCACCACTGCTCTAGGCTACATGGTAAGAAGGAAACTGGAAATTAAATATTCTGTTGTTCTCTGTGTCTCTTCCAGTTTCCAGCCTTTGGAATTGTACTGTTTCCACGTGGTTCCCTGCTGTCCCACGCCACCTGACTTCAAGAATCAGTTATCATTTCCCTGAATAATTTAGTTGCCCCATATGGATTGGAAATCTGTGTGAGTCTGATAGGGCTGTCATAACAAATTCCACAGACTAAGTGGTTTGCACAACAGAAATTTATTTCCTTACAGTTCTGGAATCTAGAAGTCCGAGATTGAAGTGGTTTTCCTGCAGTTACTCTCTTTGGCTTGCAGATTGCTTGCTGTCTTTTCACTGTGTCCCCACATGGCCATCCTTCTGCCAGTGTCCTATAATCTTTTCTTCATACAAGCACATCAGTCATACTGGATTAGAGCCTGCCCTAACAACACCATTCTAACTTAATTACCTCTTAACTCAGTTACCCTCTCTGCAAATACAGTCACATTCTGAGGTTCTAGGGCTTAGGGCTTCAGTATGAATTTGGGAGGAATTCAGCCCCTAACAACATCCTTAAGTGTGCATATTTGCTCTGTCTTAACTCACTCCTAATGACTCACTCCACCAAAGCTGATGGATTTCAGTGTATACAAGGTAACCTGTCTTTACTTGGAATCCTACTCATCACAGTAATCCCAAGAAGGAAATTTCTCTTCTCTCTACTCTCTCTCTTCTTCTCATTTCCTTACTTCTTTCATTTTAGGGCATTGTCAGACCTGTGTTTCCTCTTCCTCTACCTATTTAATGGCAAAAGTAAGGACCATCTTCTGTCATGGAGATCATTTGTCCTTGTACCCTCTATAACCTTGATGCCCACCAATAGGATCTTTAAAAATAAGTAGATTAGAGCCAGGGATTTAGCTCAGTGGTTCCACCACCTGCCTCGCAAGCACACAGACCTGAGTTTGATCCCAGGTACCAAAAAAAAAAAAAAAAAAAGTAGATTCTTTAAAAATAGTGATTACATCTAGATTTTATTTTTCTAACTAAAAATATTTATTAAACATTTATGAGTATTTAAACATTTATGGGGGATTGGTATTACACAAATGATCCTGTCAGTTGTTTTCAAAGAATTTTAGCATTTAGGAAAATATAATTTATTCAGCAGATTTTGTTAATGTGTCATTATTTAACTTTTTTTTTTTTTTTGGTACTGGGGATCGAACTCAGGTCCTTGTGCTTGCGAGGCAGGTGGTGGAACCACTGAGCTAAATCCCCAGCCCCCAACTTATTATTATTATTATTGTTGCTATTATTTTAAAACAGAGTCTTGCTGTGTACAAATGGTGCAGGCTGGCCTTGTACTCACTGTGTAGCATAAGCTGGCCTCAGATTTATAGCAATTCTCTTGTCTCAGCCTCCCAAGTGCTGGGATTATAGGCGTGTACTACAACAAAAGATGTTATTTTTTATTAAGAGAGGCAATGATTAAATTGCAGATACTGCAACCAAACTGTATTGGTTTGTATCTTGGCTCTTTCATTTGCTACCTATATATTGATATATTGGCAAATTCTCTTTTTGTTTGGTTTAATTTTGGTTTTTTGATTTTTTGTTTGTTTGTTTGTTTTGAGACAGGATCTCACTATGTAGTTGAGACTGACCTGGAACTCACTATGTAGCCCAGGCTGGTCTTGAACTCACAGTGATCCTCCTGCCTCAACCTCCCAAGTGCTGGGATTACAGGCGTGCTCCATGATGCCCGGCCTGATTTTGGTTTTTTGGGACAGGGTCTCACTAGCAGTTCAGGCCAGCTTTAAACTCACTATGTAACTCATGCCAGCCTCAAAACCCTGTTGATCCTCTCACCTCAGCCTCTTGAGTGCTGGGATTATAGGTGTGTGTCACCACACTCCGCTTGCTATTGGCAAATTCTTTAACCTCTTTCTCTGCCTTTATAAAATTTGTAAAATGGGTTAATGATAGCATCTACCTCAGATGTGTGTGTTTTTTGTACTGGGGATTGAACTCAGAGCCTTTTGACATTCCCAGCTCTCCCTGCCTCCTTTGAGACAGGATCTCACTAAATTGCCCAGGCTGGCCTTGAACTTAATTTTAGCAACATTTATACTCAGCTTCTGGAGTAAATGGAATTACAGCCATGCACCATCATCTCCAGCTACCTTAGAGTTATGATGAGGTTTATATAAATTGATGTCTGTAACTGTGGAGGGGCAGGTTGCTGGGTATGGAATGCAGGGCCTTGAGCCTGCTGGGCAAGCCCTGTAACACTGAGCAGCATCCTCAGTGCACTTGGTTAACTTGTGTACATGGAGGAAGCATTAGGTATGTGTTAACTGTTGTTATAATTAATGTGTTAATATTTACCTGGCATTGTACGATGTGAAACTTTTTTGTGTTTTCTTTGATCATCATATTTGTATTTCTTGTAGGCATCCTAGATTTTTAGTTTGTTCTGAAGCCATCTTTCTCTTTTTGTTCACTGATGATGATCTCCTTCTAACAATTGTTTTGCAGTTCATTTTCCACTTGATAGCTAATCCTACAGTCATCTTCATTTAGCTTATGCTAAAGTATTATACCCCTGGCCAGCTGTTTAAAACTGTGTTTTTGGATTAGAGTTAATATGTATATCTTTTAAAAAAACAGCTTTTTTGAGATATAATCCATATTCCATATTTTATACAGTTTACTCTTTTAAAGTATAAAATTAGGTGTATAACATTTTTTATTACTCATTAAAAGATAAGTGATCTGGTTTTGAGGAAGCTGGATTTTTAAAGTAACCAGACTGTAAGACAATAATGTAGGTATAAATTGATCCCCAGCTTTGCATCTTATTGGACCTGGGGCATAAAATCTGTGCCTTCTTTTGGATAATATTTTTGCCTTCAATTCTTTGTTTTAAAACACGTAGGCACAACTTCTTCAACCAAGCGGAGCACTTCTGCAGGTAACAAAGAATCCAGTTCTACTAGAGAAGTAACCAGACTGTAAGACAATAATGTAGGTATAAATTGATCCCCAGCTTTGCATCTTATTGGACCTGGGGCATAAAATCTGTGCCTTCTTTTGGATAATATTTTTGCCTTCAATTCTTTGTTTTAAAACACGTAGGCACAACTTCTTCAACCAAGCGGAGCACTTCTGCAGGTAACAAAGAATCCAGTTCTACTAGAGAAAGAGAACGTGAACGTACCCGACTAAACCAGAGCAAAAAACTACCTTCTGCAGGTCAGGGAGCTAACGATGTGGCATTGGCTAAACGTTCCCGCAGTCGCACTGCTATGGAATGTGATGTTCGCATGAGCAAGTCTAAATCGGACAATCAGATCAGTGACAAAGCTGCTTTAGAAGCTAAAGTGAAAGATCTTCTCACACTGGCAAAAACTAAAGATGTGGAAATTTTACATTTGAGAAATGAACTCCGAGACATGCGTGCTCAACTGGGCATTAATGAAGATCATTCTGAGGGTGATGAAAAGTCTGAGGAGAAGGAAACCATTATTGCTCACCAGCCAACTGATGTGGAGTCTACTTTATTGCAGTTGCAAGAACAAAATACTGCCATCCGTGAAGAACTCAACCAGTTGAAAAATGAAAACAGAATGTTAAAGGACAGGTTGAATGCACTGGGCTTTTCCCTAGAACAGAGGTTAGACAATTCTGAAAAACTGTTTGGCTATCAGTCCCTGAGCCCAGAAATTGCCCCCGGTAGCCAAAGTGATGGAGGAGGAACTCTGACTTCTTCAGTGGAAGGCTCTGCACCTGGGTCAGTGGAGGATCTCTTGAGTCAGGATGAAAATACACTCATGGACCATCAGCACAGTAACTCTATGGACAACCTAGACAGTGAGTGCAGTGAGGTTTATCAGCCTCTTACCTCGAGTGATGATGCCCTCGATGCACCATCATCTTCAGAGTCAGAGGGCATTCCAAGCATGGAGCGCTCTCGTAAAGGGAGCAGTGGGAATGCGAGTGAAGTGTCTGTTGCTTGCTTAACAGAAAGAATACACCAGATGGAAGAGAACCAGCACAGTACGAGTGAGGAACTTCAGGCAACTCTGCAGGAACTGGCTGATTTACAGCAGATTACCCAAGAGCTGAATAGTGAAAATGAAAGGCTTGGGGAGGAGAAAGTCATTCTTATGGAGTCCTTGTGTCAGCAAAGTGATAAGTTGGAACACTTTAGCCGACAGATTGAATATTTCCGTTCCCTTCTAGATGAGCATCATATTTCTTATGTTATAGATGAAGATGTAAAAAGTGGACGCTACATGGAATTAGAGCAACGTTACATGGACTTAGCTGAGAATGCCCGTTTTGAGCGAGAGCAGCTTCTGGGTGTCCAGCAGCATTTGAGCAATACTTTAAAAATGGCAGAACAAGACAATAAGGAAGCTCAAGAAATGATAGGTGCACTCAAAGAACGTAGTCACCACATGGAGCGAATTATTGAGTCTGAGCAGAAGGGCAAAGCAGCCCTGGCAGCCACCTTAGAGGAGTACAAAGCCACAGTGTCCAGTGACCAGATAGAGATGAATCGCCTGAAGGCCCAGCTGGAGAATGAAAAGCAGAAGGTGTCTGAACTATATTCTATCCATAACTCTGGAGACAAATCTGATATTCAGGACCTCTTGGAGAGTGTTAGGCTGGACAAAGAAAAGGCAGAGACTTTGGCTAGTAGCCTGCAGGAAGATCTGGCTCACACCCGAAATGATGCCAATCGATTACAAGACACCATTGCCAAGGTATTGTTTAAGTAGATAAATGTGTTCTGGGGAAGCATTATGCAGCTTTTGTATACAACATACTTTTCGGGGGCCAGGAGCACTTGTTTAATGTGTCATTAGCTTTTATTTACCCTAATATTTTTTTTAAAGCCTAAGAATAATTTTCTTTTACTGTGGTAAAGTAAAATGTAGTCTTATAATTATGTCGCTTTCACTCACTTATATTTCACTGTTTTCTTGCCTGTGAGAGGATTGGGCTAGTGTTACAATTAACACTAGAATTTGTACCTCCTTGTGGGTATGCCTATGGGGTATCATGGAATTTTATTTATTTATTTATTTGTGTGGGGTTTTTTTTTGTTTTTTTTTTTTTTTAAGACAGGGCCTCATTATATAGTTGAGACTGACCTGGAACTCACTATGTAGTCCAGGCTGGTCTCGAACTCACAGCAATCCTCCTGCCTCAGCCTCCCGAGTGCTGGGCATGGAATTTTATATCCTCATCTCTAATATATGTTGGCATAGATAGCCAAAGAACTGATATTTCAATCTATAGGATCAGCAGTATCTGCCACTTCTTATCCTGCATTAATTGTAGTTTTTCAAATAGTTTTGTTGTGAGTTAAAAATAGCCTTGGAGTATGGGGTTCCCTATTTCTTGGAGGTCATGGATTTATTACTGATAGATACCTTAGAGTTATTTCTTCAGCCCTGCTGTTTTACAGGCATTCAATTTAATAGCTACCCTGGGTCACTGGCATTTTTGCCAGGGCTCTGTATCCTCCTGATGGAAGTGATTGGAACTTTGTGTGTGTGTGTGTGTGTGTGTGTGTGTGTGTGTGTGTGTATGTATGTGTGTGTGTGAGAGAGAGTTGTAAATCTGTCTCCCATTGTATTTATTTTTAATGTTAGTGCAGGGATTTTTTGCAGGGGGGTACTGGGGATTGAACTCAGGACCTTGTGCTTGTGAGGCAGCCTAGGTGCCACTGAGCTAAATCCCTGGCCCAGGTGCAGTGATTTTTAAAGGAAGAAATATTAGTTCATCTTTGGCTAAAACTTAAATAACAGACTTTAATTTTTTAGTGACCACTTTTAGAGATACAATTTAAAAGCTATGTGTTATTTCTTTTTTTTTTTTTTCATTTGGTACTGGGGATCAAACTCAGGACTTTGCACTTGCAAGGCAGGCACAGTGCCATGGAGCTAAATATGCAGCACAGTATGTGTTATTTCTTAAAGAGGCAATATGAACTAATACTTAACTGTTTGTTTTGTTTTCTTCCCTGTGGAAGTGGGATTAAAACCTAGGACTTCATGCATGATAGGCAAGTGCTTTACCACTGACTGAACTGTGTCCCTTGCTGTGTGCTAAAACTTTAGCAAAGACATTTACTTGATTTTTTTGTGTGTTTTATATTTACTTTGATGTCACAAATAAAACATTTTTGTAGGAGAGCATATTAATCATTAATCAAATGCACATGCTTTTAGTCAATTTCTCTTTGAAGGGAAATTAAGTTCAGTGATATTTCAGTATAATTTTGGTTGGTGATATAACATCAGTTTAAGTATTTACATAATATATTATTGTTGAATCACACTGTTTTTGACAGTTCTTGCAGATTTACTTCATTCATAGAACTATCTATCTATCTTTCTTTCTTTCTTTCTTTCTTTCTTTCTTTCTTTCTTTTTTTCTTTCTTTTGGTACTGGGGATCAAATTCAGGACCTTCTGCAGCACCACTGAGCTAAATCCCTGACCCATTAGAACTTTATACTTAACTTCCACCTGAAGCATTGCTTACCTCAATTTTAGAGTTTATCTTAGAACAACTGTACTTTTCTAATTCTGTCAATTTTATATAGGTAGAGGATGAATACCGAGCCTTCCAAGAAGAAGCTAAGAAACAAATTGAAGATTTGAATTTGACTTTAGAAAAACTAAGATCAGAGCTGGAGGAAAAAGAGACAGAAAGGAGTGATATGAAAGAAACTATCTTTGAACTTGAAGATGAAGTAGAACAACATAGAGCTGTGAAACTTCATGACAACCTCATTATTTCTGATTTAGAGAGTAAGTGATGAGACAACTTTTCATTTATTTTAGTTTTGCTGTTTTAAATATAGTTGCTTTCAGCAAATTATTATTTCTGATCGGCACATAGTCCAGAGGCAGTGGCACATGTGACTTGCAGAATGTGTATATGGTAAAAGTCAAATTCACACATGAATGAGTAGGCTTTGAATTGCTGTTTTTTTCCTAAAGAACTATTGGGTAGAATCATTACTTTAAAACTGTACCCAACTGGGGGCCAGGGATTTAGCTCAGTGATTTTGCCCACTGCCTTGCAAGCTCAAGGTCCTGAGTTTGATCCCCAGTACCAAAAAAATTAAAAAATACCTAAGGAATATCATTTAAGTAAAAAGCTAATGAAGTTGCTATTGTGTACATCTTAAGAAAAGCCATTTATTATTTTTTCATAGTGATTGCAGGTATACTGAGATATTAAAATACCATTCCGCATAATCTTTAGCCTAAGGCTCAGATTTTTGTTTTTCTTGCTGTGAAGATTTCATATTAGGGTAGAAATGAAACCCAGATTTTATATTTTTTATAGTAAAAATTTTTGGTATAAACTTAAGAAATTGATTACTCTGTTTATGTAGGAAAATATCCCTAGTCTTAGGAACCACACACTGAATATTTAGAGGTAAAGAGCTATGATATATATTCCTAAGTGGCTCCAGAAAAAAAACTTAGAGGTAGATGTATAGATATATAAATAGATGGCAAGTCAGACATGGTGGCACACATCCATAATCCCAGCACTCAGGCGGCTGAGGCAGGAAGATTGCCATAAGTTCAAGGCTGGCCTGGGCTGCATAGTGAGTTAAGGGCCGATCTAAACTGTATAGCGAGACCCTGTCAGAAAACCAGAAAAAAAAAAAAAAAGAAATAGCAGTTAGTATAACAAATGAATATTTTGTTATTAATAGACAAATCTCAGTAAATGGGCATGTTAAGTTTTAACACTACTTTTGCACCTTCTTATAAGTTTGAAATTGTTTCCAAATAGTAGATTAAAAAATTCTTATATATATTTCATGTAGCTTTGTCAGGTGTTAACAGATTTTGAGTTGTTTTTGCCAGGTGGGAATGGACAAAGAGATGGAGACAGCCTTTTTCCTCTTTCCCTGAGACTGGGTTTTACTATGTTGCTGACTTCAAACTCACTATCTTCCTGCCTCAACCTCCTGAGTACTGAGACTACAGTACAGATGTGTGCCATCATACCTGGCTCATGGACAACTTTTTCTGATGCTCAAGTTACAGCTTTTTAAGCCGTTGTTGCACATGACTGCTCCTTTGGACTCTACTGTCTTACTGCTCCTTGACAAAATATTGATTGACAAACAGAGCATGAAACCACATCTGATTACTATCAGTGTATGGGTAGGAAATTTGAACTATTGTCATGGCAGAGAGGTCGCGTACTAGAAACTTTAAAGGCATCTGGGGGACGTTCTCTACTTGATTTAGCATCTGCATATTTTCCCCAAGGGTTTTTCGAGTGTTTTGAAGCCTCTATAAACTGAGGTAGCTGATTATAGGACTATTGAAGACAGTAGTTGTTGAGATAAACTTTCTAATCTGCAGTTGAAAAAACTTTTTAGTCTAGCATTTATATTTAGTTTGAAGTTTGAATAGAGGTGAATTACTAATTCTGTTTTCTATTTATTTATTTATTTATTTTCCCCAAGGGTTTTTCGAGTGTTTTGAAGCCTCTATAAACTGAGGTAGCTGATTATAGGACTATTGAAGACAGTAGTTGTTGAGATAAACTTTCTAATCTGCAGTTGAAAAAACTTTTTAGTCTAGCATTTATATTTAGTTTGAAGTTTGAATAGAGGTGAATTACTAATTCTGTTTTCTATTTATTTATTTATTTTTTATTGCACTTGTGAGGCAGGCAGCAGAATCACTGAGCTATATCCCTGGCCCTCTAATTCTGCTTCCTACATATGAGATTCTAAAGTTTTTCAGATTATTTTGGTACTTCAACACTGAATCCACTAAGTATATTAGTACTCTTCCATTACCAGCTTTTATTTTGAATGTGGAAAGTGTGACACCTTGTGGTAACTGGGCCAATAGCTGGAAAAATATTAGATGATCAAGATTTTTGCAATGAAATTTTTTCATTGTTAAACATTATGCAGATTTTAATCAGAAAATGAATGAAAATTCTGAGTAACTTTTTAGCCATATTACTTTTCTTTTCAACTCTTTAAGAGGACCATAACGATGCATAAGTGTTGAAAGAGTGGTTGTTACTTACTGCCTGTAGAGACAGTTACTAACATTTTGCAATACGAGTCTTTAAAGTCAACTAGTTGACAATAAGTTGTAGACCTTATGACACTTAATCCCTAAATATTTCAACATATAACTCCTACCAAAAAAATTCTTGTCAAACCATAGTACTATTACTACATCTAATAAAATTAATTAATTAGAGTTCTTTAGTGTCATCTCTTGGCCCATGTTTAGATTTTTCCAGCTGGCCTCAAAAATGTCTTTTTATACCACTTTTTAAAAATAAGAACCAGGTGGCCCTGGTGTGTTTTTGCACGCCTGTAATCCCAGCACTCAGGAGGCTGAGGCAGGAGGATCGCTGTGAGTTCGAGACCAGCCTGAGCTACACAGTGAGTTCCAGGTCCGTCTCAACTACATAGTGAGACCCTGTCTCAAAAAGCAAAAAACAAAACAAAACAAAAGAACCAGGTGGGAGGCATGAACAGACATGAGGCTCAAGTATGAGCAGTGCTTCAGTTGCTGGTTTGCTGAGCTGTTCCTCACAGGGGATAGTTGTGTGGTCCGTGTATGGACACTGACCTCTTCGAGTATTATCACAGTGTGTTCAGAAAGCAGTAGAGGAGAAAGATGTTCTTACTGAAGAACAGGAATTCGTGGGCCATAGGAAAAAGCCTGAAAACTCTTCTTCACTTTGAAGATGGATTCCTCATCAGGAATTTTTGGTACTTGTTATACTTCTGTTTGTTTTATTTTTGGCACAAGGGATCAAACCCAGGTCCTTGCGCTTGCAAGGCAGGTGCTGAAACCACTGAGCTAAGTCCCTGGCCCTGGTACTTGGTATACTTCTGTAACCAATTAATGTAATGGCAAGTACCAAGGTGCCACTGTATTATATTTATTTGTTAGAGTTCTATAATCTGATGGAAATTAATATTTTTTTCTTGAGAATTCCAGCATTTGGGATAACTGTTGACACATTGTATAGGATGCTTCATGACAGGGAACGCTGTTACTTGAGAAATCGAGGTTTTTCTGGGCTGGAAATTTGGCTCAGTGGTTTTGTCGCCTGCCTTGAAAGCACAAGGGCCTGAGTTTGATCCCTGTACCAAAACAAAGAAGAGTGAGAGAGAGAAATCAATCAAGATTTTCTTCTTTTGTGGATTTTTTTTTTAAAGATAGAGTTTTTTTTTTTTAAGGCAGGCTCTTACTTTCTAGTGCCTGTGCTGACCTTCAACTCACTATGTAGCCTGGGCTGGCCTTGTACTTGCAGTGATCCTCCTGCCTCAACCTCCTGAGTGCTGGGATTACAGGCATGCACCACTATGCCTGGCTGCTACAGATAAAATCTTGCTGTATATTTTAGGCTGTCCTTGAAGTCACTGTGTTGCCTGGGCTGGTCTCAAACTCATGTCCATCCTCCTGCCTCAGCTTCCTGACTCCTAGAATTACAGGTGTATACCACCATACCGTGCTACTTAGAGGAATGTTTTAACAAGTCAGTTTTAGAACTTTCTCATCATTTCAGAAAGAAACCTCGTACTCCTTAGTAGTCATTCCTTATTTACCCCAAGATAAGTTCCTAACCTTGGAATTAGTGGTCAGAATTTTAAAGCAGCAATTGTACTCAAGGTTGTAGGGGAAAATGTATTCATAATGAATAACATATGGTAAATCTCAGCAGAGCAATAAAAGCTCTGAAAAAAGAGCTAAGTAAGCTGAGTAAGGTGGAAAATTCATATAGCCCCACCTACTTTGGAGGCTGAGGCAGGAGGATTGCAAATTAGAGGCTAGTTTAGCCAGCTTACTGTGACCCTGTCTTAAAACTAAAAAAGGAGTTGAAGATGTAGTTCAGTGGGAGAGTGCCCTGGGCTCAATCCCCAGTCCTGGAGGAGAGGGGAGAAAAAAAAAACCAAATGGAACTGAAAAACTTACATCTCATATTTAAAAATCTGCTGAGTTATTTAAATAGCAAATTAGAAATAGAGAAGAGTGAACTTGATAATAAGTCAACAAATTATCCAGTCCAAGGAGCAGAGAGGAAAAAAGATGGAGAAAATGAATAGATCATGATATTAAACAGTATAATATATGTATCTGGAGACTCCTAGATCATACCAGTGTCGTAGTTGGTAGACTTGGCCTTCAGATGCTTGGATTTAGCGTCTGAACTAGAAAGATCTGCTTTATAATTAATGGTATTGTTTTCCTTTTGTTTGTTTTTTCGGTATTGGGGATCGAACTCAGGTCCTTGCGCTTGCAAGGCAGGTGACAAAGCCACTGAGCTAAGTCCCCAGCCTTAGAAAGATGTGCTTTAAAAACTCACACAAGACTCCAAGTTCAAGGTGCTGGCCTGAGATCACACTTCCTTTTCCTCCTAAAGTCCTGTTGACATTGCAGAAGAAATACAAAGATTACTAAGAAAACTAAAACTGAGATACGAAACAAGAATGATCCCATCAGTAGAATACCAATTTTGAGTAGTTTCTGGAATATAGACATAAGATGGAATTGGGGATATAGGGAATTTAAAAAAAAAAAAGCAAACCCCACCACCCAGGAAAACATTATAGCTCAGAATAATGATGCTGAGCAAATACTGGTGATGGAAACACTAAAATCTCCAGCTTGGAGGGTGGGGTAGGGACTGGAAGAGCAGTAGGAGCAGGCTGTAGTGGTGAAGGGTTATGAGAATCCTGCACTCTACCCTCTGTAGGATGCTAGCTTTTTTATCCCTAACCTGCTGCTGTACTCAAACT